TATATATATATATATATATTAAGAACATGTAAGCAATAAACAAGAAGTGTTTCCCTTACATATATGCCTTATATATATACACTTCTTGTTTGTTGTTTACATGTTCTTAAATCATATAAAAATTAATTAAATATATAAATGTCATTACACATCGAACTCTGAAAGAAAGTAATTAATTTGTTTAACAATCGGACTGCACTGTCCGCATTTACTAGGAATCTATTAATTATAGAGATTATTGATATCATCATGAACTTATAAAGATTGTAAATATATAGTAACTGTAAACACAGAAAATGAATTCTGTTTCATTTCAATTGATACACAAGGTACAATTAAATGGTAGCTCGTATCGTCGACAATTAATAGCGTTTTTTATTGGCCTGTTAACGTATGCGAATCAAATGTGTAGTATTGATTGTATATATGTGCATATATATACATATCTATTGTACATATGGTTGTCATTGTCAGTTATGCCTACTCGCATTCTCAATCGCAAGGTCTTTTCTCAACGAACTATTTTAACTTGTTAAGTTAAATAAAAAATGTTAACAAATTTATTAAATTTCAAGAAATACTTCAATAATAATATTTAAAATGGGAAAATGGGAAAATGGGAAATCAAGGTATAATGGTTTTATTGAAATGTATGTATTAATATTCTTGATCAGGGCGCCGCTGTATATACGGTCATTTAAAAAGAAATAAAGTCTCTAGCTTTTATATCTTCTGAGCCTGACGCGTTCAAGCATACGGACAGGCAGACAGAAGGACATTGCTAAATCGACTCAGCTCGTCACCCTGATCAGGAATGTATATATTTTATGGATCTGTCACGCCTCCTTCTGCCTGTTACCTACATTTCAACAAAACCATTTTAACCTGATTTTCCATTTTCAATGGGTTTAGGGTATAATGAAAATAGAATGGAAATGAAAACAACTGAAATTGATCTATTTTTAAGGTATAACTCGGTGATATTCAGCACATAATACCTATTTTTCACTTTTATTTATTTGCAGCTAAATCCAGAATTTAAAATGGAACTGTAAGTGTCAAAATTGGCAAATATAAGTATAAAACAGTATTGGAAGTGCTAAAATTTATTTTATAGAGAAGCGGCCGAGCCTGTAGAGTCGCATGCTCGGTGGGGATCTTTTTTTGCTAACCACTGGAAGGGATGTGTTGTATTCCTAATGCCTCTGGTTTGCCTCCCCATTATATTAATGAACAATATTCCGGTAAGGAAACCCAAATGACTGTGGCTTGTGTGACTTTAGTAATATTTACTAACCGTTTCAGGAGTACAGATGTATGTACATCTTATTGATAATGGCTGTGTTTTGGGTCACAGAGGCGTTACCGTTATATGTTACATCAATGATACCAATTGTTGCATTTCCCACAATGGGCATTATGGTAAAACTACCGGCTCTTATTAGTAAACATTTAAGTATTAATAATAATAGTTTTAATATTTTACAGGGATCCGAAGAGACGTGTATGACCTATTTTAAGGATACATTAGTTATGTTCATGGGCGGCATTATGGTTGCGCTAGCAGTGGAATACAGTGGTCTACACAAGCGTCTAGCACTGAGAGTTATTCAAATGGTGGGCTGCAGTCCCAGAAGGTTTGCATCTCTTTAATTCTAATTCATGGTTATAACAATTGGACTGATTTCCTTTAACTTATTTCATAGACTACATTTCGGCTTGATTATGGTGACAATGTTCATATCCATGTGGATTTCCAATGCAGCTTGTACTGCTATGATGAGTCCGATTGTACAGGCGGTGCTTGAGGAGCTCCAAGCGGTCAGTCTGAAAAAATGAAGGAGGAAAACAATGGAAAATATTTGATTAATAATCCAATTTGTCCAACAGCAAGGAGTCTGCAAAATCTATCATGAGCCAGAGTATCAAATGGTTGGTGGAAAGAACAAAAAGAAGAATGAGGACGAGTATGTATAGTAATAGCTTAAGTCTATTCAATTTCATATACTGTCTAATTTTCCAGATTACCCTATCCAACAAAGGTTACCCAATGCTACTACCTAGGTATTGCATATGCATCGTCTCTGGGTGGATGCGGCACCATAATTGGCACGGCAACAAATCTAACATTCAAGGGCATCTATGACACTGCTTTCCCCAATTCTACCGAGAAACTAGATTTCCCCACGTTTATGTTCTATTCGGTGCCATCAATGTTGGTTTACACAGTACTTACGTATGTTTTCCTACAATGGCATTTTATGGGTCTTTGGCGGCCTAAGAGTAAGGAGGCTCAAGAGGTACAGGTGGGTAAGGATAACGCACATGTGGCCAAGAAAGTCATTGATCAACGCTATAAGGAGCTGGGTCCCATGAGTATACATGAAATCCAAGTGATGATTCTATTCATTATCATGGTCTTCATGTACTTCACACGAAAACCAGGTATCTTTACCGGATGGGCTGACTTGCTACCCGACAAGTGAGTATTCCATTTGAGGGCTAAACATGACAGAGTAACTCTCTTCAATTTCTTCACTTTTTATACTGGCTTATTAACTAATACGAAAAGAGAATCTATGTCGCTTAATATATGTTACGAACATAAAGAGACAACACTAGATAATACAATTTAAATACTTAGAGACTCTGGTTTATCTGTTATGTATAATATAACATTTAACAAAAAAGCCAGATTCCATATATAAAATAATGGGAGTATATAAAATCAAACGCATGCTCCTAAAACAAATATGTAGCATAGAAAGCAACAACTTGTAGACTCATGGCACCTCGATAATTCTTAGTATTTTTAGTAAAAAGTAATATTTTGATTATACCCTGAACCCATTGAAAGTAGGAAATCAGGGTATAATGGTTTTGTTAAAATGTATATAACTGGCAGAAGGCGTGGCAGACCCCTGTCCGTTCGTTCGTCTTTTCGCGTCGATCTCAGATGTAAGATATAAAAAATGAAAATGTTGTCCTAGGTCCGTATAAACCACCTGCATATCAAGCTTTTCTTTAAAAATCGAGAACTTTTCCCATTTTTGTTATTGATTAAAAACATTTTCGAAAAAGTATATCTCCCACAGCTTTGAAACTATAGTCTCAAAATATATATTAAGATGCATTTTATACAATTTCGATTTTAGTTAAAAGTTGTTAAAAGATGTTACAGAAAATCGCTTTTACTAATTAATAATTAATTTTGTTTGTTATTGCTTAATCTATCTTTTCTACTTACTGTTAGGGTTATCAAAAACTCGATGCCTACCATTTTTGTGGTGATCATGTGCTTCATGCTGCCGGCGAACTATGCATTCCTACGATACTGCACACGTCGCGGACCTGTGCCGACGTCGCCGACACCCTCACTGATCACCTGGAAGTTTATTCAGTCTAGGGTGCCATGGGGCTTGATCTTTCTGCTGGGTGGTGGCTTCGCCCTGGCAGCTGGCAGTAAGCAAAGCGGCATGGCAACATTGATTGGCAATTCCATGAGTGGTCTGAAGGTGCTTCCTAATGCAGCATTGCTATTGGTCGTCATTCTTGTGGCTGTATTTCTGACCGCCTTCAGCTCAAATGTGGCCGTTGCCAATATTCTCGTACCTGTGCTCAACGAAATGGTGCGTCCAAAAGTCTATTAAAACTGCTGGACTGCTTATTATTCGACTCTTTATAAATTACAGTCACTGGCTCTGAAAATTCATCCTCTGTACCTGGTGCTTCCAGCAGGCCTCGCTTGCAGCATGGCCTTCCATTTGCCGGTGAGCACGCCACCAAATGCTTTGGTAGCTGGCTATGCGCATATTCGCAGCAAGGATATGGCGATAGCAGGCATTGGACCTACGATTATCACAATCATTGTGCTATTCATTTTCTGTCAAACTTGGGCTATGGTCATCTATCCAAACTTGGACACATTCCCGGAATGGGCACAAATTGCCGCCGAGGAAGCAGCCAACAAGAGTCGCTTGCTAGCCGAGTTAGCTGTTAATAAGGCGCACATGTTGGAGCTGGCGGCAAATGCGACTCGCCTATTGACAAACAATACTGAATTTTTAACAGATCTAACCACTGGTAGCTCAAATTTGGTGAGCGGCCTGATTGCCAATAGCTCACAACCATTAGCTCAATTAGCCGTCAATGGCACACGATTGTTAACTGATATTGCCTTAAACAAAACCCTTTAATTGGAGATAACTAAATAGTTGTCTTGTCTAAAAGTGGTCACGAGCTCCACGAATAACGTCGCTGGGGGACTATCACAAGTGCCTTTGACAAAATATTTGTACAATATACAACACATTAAGTAAAGAATTCAAAAACAATAAAAACAACTGAAAACTAAGCTAAACAATTATACTTTGGAACGAATTTACAAAGCCCAGAAATTAAACTTCGAACTCATTGATTATAGCTGTCTTTGTGTGGCACTATTAGACTAAAATCATATATTATAAAATTAACTGAAAATCGTTATATAGCGAGATGATTGTGTGAAAGTTAACAGTAATGATGATATAATACGTCCTTTCAGCATTCAAGCGCATTTACTAGAAAGCTTTAAAGGTAAACAGATTTATGAAAAATTATATGTTAGTTAATAATTGCATTTAGCGAAAATAAAATGAAATAAATATTGTGCGAAACCCCAGGCATTGAATGTATTTTTATACTCTTTTTTCGTAACTAGACTGACGTATCGTGGTTTTGCAAATGTAATTAATTTTTATGAAATTTGGTAGGAACTGTTGAAATAATACTATTTTTTATCAATATACTGAATGTATACAGAAAATAGCACACAAATAGAATAAGTCTTAATATTTCATGTGCTAAAATAGAAATGATGCAATTTTTATATAGTTTTAAAGTCAAATAAAATATTAAAATGAAAAAAAAAAAAAACTTTAGTTTTCAATCATTACGAGTATTTGCAATACTTTGATCTAAGGGGAAGAATTGGAAAATAATTATAAATTTTTCTTTTAAAAGTAAGTTTATTACTTTGAAAACGATGAATATTTCTTAATTTTAAAGTTTAAACCTTTTTCCAACTAAAACTCATTAATTTCAGTCTGTTTACGTATAACTTTTTTTTTTTTTTTTTAATTTCATAACATATAATGTAAGGTTTTGATTTAAAGAGGGTGACAGAGCATGGTCTGACACATATGTATATAGTCAAGTAAAAATATTATTTAGTGGTAGCAAACATTTTTATACCCTGAACCCATTGAAAATGGGAAATCAGGGTATAATGGTT